GCCCCCCTGCCACGGCTGATGCCCAGTGGGCTCTGCCAGCTCATGCCGCTGGCACCGGGACCCCGTCAGCCGGAGGCTGGGCGTTGGCGGTGCACGGAGTGTAAGCGCTTGGACCAGTGCTCAGTGCTAATTAATTATCCTCTTACGTTAACTTTTCTCTCTCTATCTGCGGCCGTGACACAGCAGGGGCAGTTCCTGCCTTCCCAGCCACCCGGACATCCTCCCTGGTGTTATCGGTTTTGGTTTTTCACCTTTATGTTTTAGCACGAGTGTCAAAAAACTGCTTCACCCAGGGCCATGACTGCCAGCAACATCGTGCCGTGCCCTGCCCAGCCACAGCGAGACGCTGCCAGACTCTACAGCATTTGGAGGGGTGCAGCGGGCACCCCTGTTGCGGGCGCTCTGCTCGCCTCGGGGCCCACCCCGGGTGCCTGGCACAACTCTCCCTGGAGTGGGTCCTCGGGGCTGCGGGTGTTGTTCTGAGCTTTCCCACCCGGATAACCTGTCCCGGGGTTGCGTGCACACACCTCGGAGCTCATATGCCAGCATTTCCTCCTGTGCACGGGGCTGTTCCCGCTCACACGCGTCCCCGGCTCATGCTCACCCACTGTTTGTCTTTCCGTGCCGGCTGCACGGTGTCCTGCTCGCCTGCTGGCCTTTGGCTCAGCTCCTGTCTGCGTTTCTGCCTGCAGGGAGCCACCCTGCTTTCTCCAGCACCGGTGGCTTGTCCCAGCCCAAAGCCAGGTTTAACGCGTTACCTCTGGTTGTGCTGAGCTGGGCTCACTGCCCACCTGCACAGGTTTGCACCATGGCAGCCGCGGTGACAGCAGTTGGATGGAGCATCCCCCTCCTCCAGACCCCACCAGCACGTCTGGGCAGCAGCATCGTGGCCAGCACTGGCTTTGGACTCCATGTTATTGCACGCTTTCCCCGTCCGGCGGGTTTCCCCCACCCTGCAGGTGGGGCGGTGCTGCCCCGCCGTGTCCCCATCCCTTGGGACCAGCCTGGGTCCCTCTTCCTCATCCCACCCATGGCCAGCCCAGCCAGAGAGCAGCCACTGGACTTTGGGGTGGGCTCAGAGAGTGGCAAAGCCCCTGCAGAACTCCTCACCCTGCAGGTGCCCACGCTGTGTTATCTGCTCACTACCCACCAATTGATTACACATGGGGAGCTTAATTAGATCAGTGCCTGCCTGTCTCGCTCCTAATCCCAGCCCGTGACAGCTGGCCAAGCACAGCTCGTTCTTCAAACAGAGATAACGACCTTTTATATATTCCAGGCTGGGGTTTATTTAACCGGTTGCTGGGCACTGGCTTGGGGCTGCCCTCGCCCCTCCTGCTGCCCCGAGGTGGCTCCGAGGTGGCTGGAAGGGTCCCGCTGCGGTCTCATGGTGCTGGGTGGCCACAAGTGCTGGGTGACCTGCACCAGGGTGGCTTCCTCCCACCAGTGAACAGCTTTTGGCAGCGCCTGTTTTGGGGGTCCATGGCACAGGCGGGGGTCTCCAGTGTGTCCCCCAGCACCCTGCAGGGATGTGGCATGTCCCCACCCCTGGGGCTGCGCAGTGCCAAAACCTCCTGCCCCTAAGCGGCCGCGTGTTTTGGCTTTTTTAAACAAAGTGGCCTTGAGAGTGAGCCCGGGGCAGGCGAAGCAGGCAGCCGAGTTCAATTTCTGTGCTTAAACGCGTGATTATTTTCCCATTAAGCATTAATTCTTCCCCCAGTCGCCTGGCTGAGCCCTGCACTGTCCCCAGGGAGGAAACCTGGCTCCTACGGGCACTGCCCCCCGCCCCGAGCGAATCCCCTCCAGGCTGCTCTGCCCAGCGCAGGGTTCAGCCAACCCTCATTGCCGCCCTAATTGCAGCTGCCGAGAAAACCCAGCCCGCAAGAGAAACCACTGCATCAAAGGCAGTTCTGCCCTTCTTTGGCACTGTCAGCCGGAGGGTGATGAATGCGATGCCCTGTGCGGTGCAGTGGGGAGGGGTCTGGGTGCAGTCTGGGGGCTCTTGCACCCTCTGGTGGGCAGTTTAATGGTGAAATAGGGCCGTGCAAATGGGGATTTGTTGTGGGTGGCATCCCGCGTGTGTTGCTTTGGGGTGGCATCCTGCTCAGCACCTACGCCCTTGCTGGGGGAGCAGAGCTGCTGCGGTGGCCCTGGA